TTTTTATTTTATTAACAATACGAAGCCAACATAATATTAATTGACTTTGTATAGTAGATTATTATATAATTATATATTATAATAATTTAGAATAATTTTTTATTTTGTTAATTCTTAGTATTGAATTATATTTTTTAAGTATTGATTATTTTTTAAATATTATTAGATTTTTTTAGAATTTTAAGGCTATTAAGTATTTATTAAATATTTTTTAAAAGTTTAATAAATAATTATTGATAAATTTTTTAAAATTTAATAAGTATTTATTTAAAAAAAATTTTGTTACGGCACTTTTATACGGTTACTATTCTCGTTCTTTTCTTCAATTCAGCTTTTCTCTCTCCCTGCATTCATTTTCCAATTTCCATGCTTCTCTCCTCCCTCTCCTCCCTCTCCTTCCTCCCTCTCCTTCTGTTTCCCTTCCCTCTTTTTCCCTTCACCCTACTCCCATCTTTGTAAACCCAGGTTTACGTTCGAATGAACCCAGATTCCAACCTTGATCACTTGCTTCGATTGGACCCAGATTTGGGTTCGAACAAACCTAGTTTTTGTGTTGTTACAGACCCAGAACTAGTTTTCTTTTAACCCAATTTTCTGGGTTCTCAAATTCAAATTTCCAAATTCCTTGGATTAATTGGAACCCAAATTCCTGGGTTTTTATTTTTACTTTGTGCTATTTAAAACTCTCCTGATTTTCATTGTTTCTCCTCACTCGCCTTCCCTTTCTCTCCAACTTTCCCAATCCAATGTTAATGACTTTATCTAAACAAAGGAGAGAAGAGAGCTCTCTCCTCCCCTTCCCCTGAACTCCCTCAATTCAAACAAAGGTTTAAGACTCTGATGAATTATGTAAAGAAATTATAAGATTGATGCATGTAAATTCAGGACACCAAAATAATCGAATTAAATGAAACGCGTACGTTATGAAGCCATTGAAGAAGCTATGGAGAAGATCACCCTATTAAGGATTTGCCGGTACTTCCTCTTCATTTCCTATTTCGGAGCACAGTAATTAATGGGTAGTTACCGAACGTATGAAGAAGGGACCTAACTACTTTTGTATATACGGTAGCTTAATAGTCCTTCCTATCAAAGGCCCAATGGGCTTGTGGCCTACGCTAGTTGTCCCACATCCATTCTAAATGAGAAGTTTATGGCCCATACAAGATTTGGGCCTCACATACTGTCATATGTTTTGAATTAGTGTTGTCCAAGCCGTTTTAATTAAAACCAAACTTTCTAATTAATAGTAGCTAACACAAATTAAAAAATTTTTAACATTATATTCCTTCCTCCCAACTCCACCCTTGTTAGTAGTTCGACTATTGATATATATTATTTTACGTCATTATATAATAGTGGATAGCTTCTCCCTTTCTAAACCTTCCCACGCAATTCATGTTTTGAACTTAAATTCTTCAAGATAGAGATTTGATTTTAACCACTAAGATGTCCCCTGTGGGACAGTTTGACTATTGATGAAGATAAAGACGGTGACGAAGATGAAGGGTGATAAGTGATACATGGGGGTTTCAAGTTATCAAAGGATCCTGGGTTCTGGAGAAGGTTTTGGGTAGGAACAGTAGGAAGTTCTCCAAAGGAGATGGACTTCAGTGAAGTTTTATCTGTGTTTTTTTTTTTTTTTTTTTTTTTTAATTCTATAGTTGCAAATAATTTAATTAAAATAAGTTAATCACTTAATTAAAAATTGTCACGTAGAATTTGCAAATAAAAAAAATTCAATTTTTGTGGATGTGGCATGCCACATCAGATAAAATTGACAGTGTGATAAAGGAAAGAATAAAAAATGTGCATAATTAAAAATTGAGGACTAAAAAAGTGTTAAAAATAGTCTAGGAGATAAAAGTGTTCAATAGTCAAAATTCAGGGATGAAATTTAGCATTTAACCATGTTTTTTTATCAACAAGCAAATAAATGCATGATTCAAAGTCGTTGCATTTATATATTAATTCTTAATTCCGTTTTATAATTATTTTAACTAAGATCATTTTGTGTTCCTTTATTGTGAGTTAAAACCAATCCTTTTGGCTAAGGATTATAAAAACACAATCATTTATTTTATTTATAAGATTCATTCCCTCAAAATTCTAAATATTATTTCTCATTCCCTGCAGTTGTAGTACCACTGGTTATCTTCCTCGGTATCTTCCTTGGTAAGCAATAATGTCTATTGAATGCGATTTTACTACCCTTTATTTTTGTGTTATGTCTTTATCAACAAAGCATGTTTGTTGGATGTGTCTGCTATTGCTTTTGTTTTATAATTTGGATTAAGGTCATTTTTTATTAAATGTCAATATTTAATCATTGAACTTTTAATTTTGAATATTTTTATTCTTTATAATACTTTTGCATCTTTTTAGTCTTTAAACTATAAAAAATATATATTTTTTTTAAATTTTTTTTAGTTAGTCTATTAAATCCATTTAATTATGTATATTTTTAGTCACTAAATTTACTAAAAATATGCATATATAAACAGACTAAAAATGTACAATAGATTAAAAATATACATACTTAACAAAAAAACAAAAAAATATATTTTTCATACTTAAGATACAAAAAAATACAAAAAATTCAAGAATTAAAATTGACATTGAACGTTTTTTTATTCCTTTATTATGAGTTGAAGGCAATATTTTCTACTCAAGAAAATCAATTATATTGTAGTTATGAAACTATCATTCTTTCTAATCTTGAACATAACTTATTCACTGTAGTGATGCCAGCCGTAACGATGCTTTCAATGCCAGTTATCCTTGGTATCCTGATTTTAGGTAAGCAATATAAACAAGAGGATCGATACACTCAATAAGCATACACAGTTTAGATAACGATTATAAAGGCAATAAATTGCAACTCATTCTTTCTGATCCTAAATATATACTCATTCATTGTAGGGGCGTTACGCATACTGGTTTCGATGCTCTCAAGGTTCTTTGGTAAGAAATACTACGTCTACTCAGTACTCAATGAGCCATTTCCTTTCTTTATTTTTGTTCTATATCTTGATTTTTCTTTATACCTAAGTTTTTTTTTTGTTATTAGAAACTCCTTTATATAAGATAAAGTTGATGGATGAGTATGCTCGTGAGATTATACGTTTGATACGTCGGGAGTCATTTTCAAACTTAGATGAGACCCAGTTTGTGCAACGTAGAGCAATGGAAGCAATCTTCCAGGCTATCAAGATCGGCATCCCAGACATTGTGAAAGAATTTATAGAACTTAATGGAAATATATCACGGAGAAGCTCAGATCTTGAAGATTCAAATTCAAGATCAAAAATTCAGGACATATTTGCTTGTGCTGTAGAACATCGTCGGGAGGAACTGGCACACTTTCTTTATAAATATGCGGAGGAGGAGAAAAGCATACTTTTTGCCATCAATGAAGATGGAAATAATACATTGCATCTAGCAGCAAAGTTAGCCCCTCATTATCAATTAGGTTACATCCATGCAGCAGCTTTGCAGTTGCAAAGTGATCTACGTTGGTTCAAGGTAAATATCTTTTATTTTTAATTTTTTTTTTAAATTAAGTAGTGAGAAATTAATCTTATATTATTCCTTATTTCATATATTATGAAACACTGTAGGGGGTAGAAGAAATTATTCCACAATCTTACCACGAAGGCAGAAACTTTAACGGCCAAACTCCCCTGGAAGTGTTTGTTAGAGAACACCAGGATTTGCTAAAAGAAGCAAAGGAATGGGTGAAGAAAACAGCGGAATCTTCTACAGTCGTTAGTGCTCTTATTATTACCATTATGTTTGCGGCGGCTTTTACTGTTCCTGGGGGGAATGATCAAAGTACAGGTTTTCCTATATTTTTGCATAAAACTCCGATACCGTTTATGGTATTTATGGTATCAGATGCAATTTCTCTTTTTGCTGCATCGAGTTCAGTGATAATGTTTTTGGGGATTCTCACTTCACGTTTTGGTCATGAAGATTTCCTTAAATCCTTACCTATTAGGTTGGTTATGGGCCTTTCTTCACTCTTCATTTCTATTGCAACAATGACGATGGCATTTTGTACCGCTCTTGTCATTATGCTAGAAGGGCGATTGTGGGTCGTCATTCCTATAACTCTGCTCGCTGGTATTCCTGTCACATTATTCTTCGTGTTGTTGCAATTTCCTCTTCTTGTTGAGATTTATGTTTCAACTTCTAGGCCAAACATCTTTGATGGGGAAGTATCATCCTGGATGAGAATAATGAAAAAAATGTTTGTGGGATTGTGGGCTTTCGTACAGCGGTAGAAATTCTTGCAATGCATATGTGATGGTGTGGAAGTATATATTTTTCAGGTTGAAGTCCCCCTCGAAGGAATTATTGGACAATTGTTTTAACGATTTAGGGGCGGAGTGAGGCGGATGTTGTATTATTATTGGAACCGTTCTAGGTGTGGGGGAATTGGGGCACCCGCACGGGCCGCCGAACCCCTTAATTTTCGGAAATTTTTATTTTTATTTTTAAATTTAGTATGTATATTAATTTTTATCTTTAAAATTCTTAAATATTATACTTATTGCATGATACTTTATGGTATTTTCATTTCACTCTTTATTATCTTTATAAATTATCATACTTACAACTCAAAATTAATATAGTTTATTAATTTTAATAAACTATATTAAAATTGTACAAGTTGAGATTAATTTTAATAACAATTTTTTTTTTAATGGTTTGCAATAGCATGGAAAATTTCATTTACTAGAAATGAAAAATTGTTTAACATTGGTGCCGTTGACATTGAAAGAATGTTTTAACTCGATTCAAGTTAAAAGTTTTTAGTGGCTGATGATTCCATGACAAACAGGGTATTTTTATTTGTTGGACTAGTTGCTTAATCCTAGATTATGTTGCCATAGTACTAAGAAGGTGGGATTAGGGGTGGAGCTAGAATTTTTTTTCAATGGGATGAGAAAATTTTTTATATACTAATTTACAAAATTTTTAAATTTCAGGGGGCAACTCATATGCTAATTTGTAATATTTTCAAATTTGAATTTCAAGGCGGAAGAATTTTTAAAAACAAATTTTAATAATTGAACATGTGAGTGTTACTAAATATGATTAAAAAACTAATATTTTCAAATTTGAATTCAATGCGAGAAAATTTTTAAAAGTAAATTTTAATAACTGAACATGTGAATGTTGCTAAATATGTTAAATCGAAGGATGTACAAATTATTTTCTTTTAATTAAATCTTTTTGCAAAACCCATGTATTCCATTTATTATAATTTCGCTTTTCTTCATCTATAAAAAAAGCCCTTTTTACAAAAAATGAGAATATTATAATCTAAATAAATGAATTTTTACATATTAAATAAATTAAAAATCGAAACTGTTTATTAAATCTAAACCCAAAAACTTTCTCTCTTTAAGTTTTCAAATTGTTTTAAGATTTTATTTTTAAAATTTTGTCATCTATTATCATTGTTTTCAAAACCGAACCGAAAATCAAATTGTTTTGACTTTTAGTTCATGATTTTGATGGTTTCATCGGTTTAATCGATTAAAAAATTAAATTGATTGAATTTTGAATATATATTAAATATAATATAATGCTATTTGTTCAATTGAAGTAGTAGTTGCTCTCATGGTTAGGGCTTCCTTCTATATTAAAAAGGGAACTACAATTCGAATCTTACATGTGTTAAGTTTATTCTTTTTTTTTAAAATTTTATTATAATAAATATATCTTAATACATCTAAGATACAACAAACTTACATTGGATCAAGTGGAATGGATCATTTAAAAAATTCAAGAGATTTAGTGCTCAAATCCAAAGGAAGTCATCTCTCCTTTAAAATCCTTGTAATACTCTTTAAAATATATTCCGCGCAACAAATCTTGGAACAGGTTGGTTGCTCTAGTGGCAAATAGCTCGCAACCTCTCATGAGGTCTGCTGTTCGAAATCTAGAAGAGGCAAATTTTGGAGAATTTCATCCAAAGATTTGGCTCAACCAGTTGGACGTGTTATCGGTTTGGATGGTTTTAGTGGTTCTAAACAGTTCAATCACCTAAACGGTTTAAAATATCAACTCGACTCATTTTTATTATTGGATATTAGTCTGATCGGTTTAATTGCTTGATCTGATTTGGTTTTCAAAACAATGCTATTATTATTATTTTGTACAATAGGAGTGTTAAGCACTGGATTACCGCATGACGTGAGGCCTACATATGCCTAGTAGATCCATCTCCAAAAAAATTACGAATCCTATCAGCTGGTGCTCCGAAGTAGTGAAATTCATCTTGCAGGTGATAGCGCTGTGAAGCCATGAAGCCTGCACTAACATTACCTTCTCAATAAGCAGAGACAGAGGGTATGCCCCCCCCCGCCCCACTGGAAAAAAATTAATATTTTCCTAAGTATTTTAATTAAAAATTAATAAAAAAATTAATATAAATAAATTTAGTAAATAAGTAAATGTTTAGGTTTGAAAATATTAGTACACAATTCAAGAATTAAGTTCAACGCGAAGATTTATTTGAAATAAAAGAAAATAGAGTTATGAAATGATTTTGTTTTTCTTTTGTGATTATAATTAAAAAATTCTATAAAACATCTATTTTTTGAAAAAATATTATAAAAATAATTTTAAAATCTCT